CTCTCCGTTACTCTCCATTCGTTAGTTAGTTAGGTAGTTAGGGAGCCGGGATACCTCACAGTATGACTGGCTACGGGCTGGACGACTGAGGATGCTGGAGTTCGAGACCCGGTAGGGTCAAGAATTTTCTCTTCTCCACGTCGTCCAAACTGACTTTGGGGTACCTCTTATCCAACGGGTACTGGGGGCTCTTTCCCCGGGGGTAAAGCTGAGAACTTACCTCCAACTAGTGCCGAGGTCAAGAAAATGTGGATCTATATATCCACTACCCCACACGCCTTCGTGGCGTACTGCTTAATTAGTTAGACATAGCGACAACTTTAACTTTACCTTCTACAAGGTAGTTACGGGGCTGCTTTTTTTTTCCTTTTCTATGAGCTCTAATGCATATTATAATGACGGTATAACAGTTGTAAACGCCGTTAAGCCTGTGCGGGCGCCCTTACATATAACTACGCACATGCGCCGTGAGATATGTAACTGTATTCGGATTCTGGCCTATCGACACGTGGAACTCTGCAGTCCTTTCCAAGGTTACTGATAGCTGAAGGCCATATAAAAGATAAGTTATCCGCGTAACACGCCGTGGAGACCCATTGGGTTGTGAGACGTCGAGGTTCCCACATCTAGACGGTCGGCTCACAGATGGCGGTGAGGTCAGCCTTACGCGCCGGCCCCTCTTAATTCCCGAGGAACGTTCCTGGTACTCATTTCTATTAGAGGCTGAATCGACCCCAGGGCCATAGCGCGGCTGGAAGGATTACGTTAGTTGAAAAATCCAGTGACCTCATTGGGAATCGAACCCGCAACTTTCAGGCTTGCAGCATAGTGCCACAACCAACTACGCTACCGTGTGCCCGCTGAAGGTCATATACATATATAAGACGCGAATCCCTATTACACTGTAAATAAAATATTTATCTACTGAAATAATGAAAACACACGGCTAATTCCGACTTACAATCCAACATGAGGATTCTTACATGCGGCCGGACTGGGCGTATGAAAATCAAAAATATCTGAGATGCTGCTGCTACAAGCATCTTGAGTTTTAATGTTTCACAGCAGCACTTAAAGGGGTCACTAACCCACGCGTGCCAGACTATGTGGCTAGCAGAAGCCAATGATGGCGAAATCGGTGCTGCTGGGGAATAGAATATCTGAAGATCTTTAGAATTGGGAACCCACACATGATATTGGACCATGAGGTCATATTTCCACGTCAATCACCAATAACTTTTTCCCCCACAATACCTAATCACACTTTATCATCAGCACCATACACGCATTAAAGGATACTGGCGCCCTTCATTCCAAGGGCCGTCAATAGCCCCATAAATCTGAGAGTCATGGAACCCGTGAAGCGCTACTTCGAAAACAGTTGCAGGCAGTAAACCAAATAAATTCAGATTTTCGTGTAACTCACCCGTACTTGGTTCTCAATATACAAAAAGGCAAATTTTTCCCTGTGCTTAATTAATTAATCACTACGCCATGAAAGCGTATGGGGGAGTAGATTTATAGATCCACATTTCTTGACCTCGGTACTAGTTGGAGGTGAGTGTTCAGCTTCACGCCCCTGCCGCTTTATACCCGGGGAAAGAGCCCCCGGTACCCATTGGATAGGAGGTTGGGTGGAACCCAGAGCCGGTCTGTATGATTTGGAGAATACACAATTTTTTACCCTACCGGGACTCGAACTCCGACCCCTCAGTCGTCCAGTCAGTAGCCAGTCGCTATACCAGCTCACATACACCGAGATACGATACGGAAATATATCAGCATCACTTCAAAAGGCAACAGGCTTGTCAAGACTGTCCGAAACGTCTATGCCGGTGCGTCAACATCAATATAATTTACAGATCTAAATATGAAGACTGTGCAGTCTATAAAGCCGCCATACAGGAGACTGGGCTTCTGTTCCCTAACAGCGACTTCTCATCAACGTTTTAGACAGCGTCTTGAAGGGGAATAGGGGGTCAGGATAGCTCAGTCGGTATACAGACGGGCTACAGGCTTCTCCATAGCGTCAGGACACACTGTGCGGCCCTACCAACCTCCTAACCAATGGGTACTGTGGCTCTTTCCTAGGGAGTAAAGGGACCATCTAATGCCAACGTTAAGAAAGGTGGAGCTATATCTCCATTGCCTCATATGTCTTCACGGCGCGGCGCTTAACTAATTAATAACAGGGACAGATTTACCTTCTTTTTATTGCTAGTGGGGTGGGACTAAGTCCCTTGTACTGCGGCCACTTCTGGGCTATTGTACCAGCCCCAGATGATAGGCGAGGGTGATTGTGGAGCAATTGGTGGAATGAAGATTGGCAGGGGAAACCGAAGTACTCGGAGAAAGCCTGCCCCAGCGTCACTTTGTCCAACACAAATCCCACTTGACCAGACCCTGGATCGAACCCGGGCCGCCGCGATGGGTCAAATTTACCCTACTTACACACAGAGCAGCACGAGGACCGCAACCTCTCACTCAGTGGGTAACTGGATTAAAGGGGCTGAAGGAGGTTTTCACCTTTACGACTATAATACTAAAGTAAGACTAATGACAAGCTGAGAGATCCATCTATGGAAGAGAAATTAACTGATAAATGATATGAAAATTAAGTATGTGCATATAAAATCACAAATATGTAATTAATGATTAAATGATATTGTGATAATACTAAATAAGTAGTACTCACAAGTAGGTGAAATAAACATGACAGTACCAAAAATAATCTTAAAGACTGGAAGCCAAAATAGGCAGATAAGATATTAAATAAACTGACAGATCCTTTTTAGATACATTCAGATAACTATTGTAACTAAGGAGAAGCAAACATTACAATATTAATTATATCTGTGATTCTATTAATGAACGCAGGGCCTTTATAAGGCTGACTCATGCACATATAAAACAAATTAATTAATGGTAATAGACCAAAAATATAACACAGTGACTGTAAACATGATAAACAGAAAGATAGTGAATAGCAAACAGTTGAAAATTAACCTCAAAGATGACTTACTTACTTACTTACTTACGGAGCTGAGCCCTTCTGGAGGAGCCGCCAATTCTGCTGCTACTCACGAATTTCCCAGCAGTTTATGGAACCCGGAGGTTCAGTACCGTGTTCACAAGAGCCCTCCACTGGTCCCTATCCTGAACCAGATCAATCCAGTCCATACCATCCCATCCTATCTCTCCATTTTAATACTGGTCACCCATCTATGCCTTGGTTTTCCCATTGGTCTCTTTCCTTCTGGCTTTCCTACTAGTATCCTACATGCATTCATCGTATCCCCCATTCATGCTACATGCCCTGCCCACCCCATCCTCCTTGACTTGATCATTCTAATTGTACTTGGAGAAGAGTAAAACTTATGAAGCTCCTCATTATGCAGTTTTCTCCAACCTCCGTCACTTAATCTCTCTTCGGTCGAAATATTCTCCTCAACACCCTGTTCTCAAACACCCTCAGTCCGTGTTCCTCCCTCAACGTCAGAGACCAAGTTTCACACCCATACAGAACCACAGGCAGAACCTCAAAGATGACAGTAGAGCCAAAACATGTGATTATTAAATACGTTAAAATTAAATACTTGACACAAATACAACCCCCGTTTCTACGCTTTTTCATATGAACCAAAGTAAGTGTCAAGATCACGAATTAGTACACACACGGCGAACTACTTTCAAGAAAATAATAATAAATCAGTTCTTTATTATTTACGTGCCGTGTTAATAATAATAATAATAATAATAATAATAATAATATTGGTGATGATAATAATAGGTATGGTTTGCACTGTACTTTGGGTCAAAGACGTAAGTGCACGAGCGCGGGGCGGGGGGGTGTTTCTCAATGTCATGACCTAACCTCAATATCACTTTGGTATGGCCTCGGCAATTGTATGAAATGTACCAACCTACGAACGAATGTAGGCCTATTGTAAAGGACGATATCACACGCGACTGCACGAGTCACAACCTTGAAACTTATGTTGGTACCACTGAAGCATACCAATCAATAGTAAGATGGCGATCCTCTTCAACTAAAAAAAATGGCTTTAGAATATATTTAGGTAACGTCATCCCTGTGTACACACGCCATGAAGGCGTATGGGAAAATGGAGGTATAGCTCTACGTATTCTTAACTTCGGCACTAAATGCAGCAACGCTGCTTTCCAATAATGATACAGTGGACCCTTAAATCCAAATCACGTAGCGTCTAAAGGCCCGTCCACATTACTCGTGCTCGTGTGTCAGAAGCTTACTGCTGCCGGAAAATCAGGATCTGGAGCTGATATCTGTTGTGAAGAAATGCGAAGGCTTTGTATGCAAACCAGTTTTGGCGTCCACTTCGTCAGCTCCATATCCTGATTTTCCGGCAGCAGTAAGCTTCTGATGCACGAGCACGAGTAATGTGGACGGGCCTTTAAATATCGATGTTGACAAGCATGCCTCTATGTCTCTGTAACGTTTTCTGAAGAGACCAAGAAAAATAACTAGTTACAGTTTGAAAGTTCTATGAGGGCAGAACATGACAAGCAAAGATAACAGTTTCCTATTACGTGTATCCTGTAACACTCATACTCCCATAAAACCACACAGCTTAATATAGAAGCTGCAGAGAACACAATTTAACTAAATTCCTCTGCCACGAAACGGCACGCCAGCTAGTTCACGTGAAGTAACGGTTTTATACACTTAATGTAGAATACAAGCCATGTGTTGAAACATGCAGCCTTGTCCGATATGTCAAGTAAAGGTGATCTGTACGTACCAGACCTCGTGAATCAGTAAGGAGGTCTTGACCTCGATGCTATATGCAGATGTATTCACATAACCTGATCGAAATATTCAGTTATTCTAGGCAAAACATGGAATGCCAGACCATTCAAATCCATGTATCTGTAACTCCTCTTAACATGACTAACAGTACATTCACAACAATGTTGCTCCCCAGTTTCTTGTATGTTAAATATTGATTACATGAACCTACCTTGCCAGTGCCATTTCGGCATGGGATCCGCTGTACTGGGATCTTGTTCCCAAACACAACACAACACAATACACAACAAGACGTCACAACATCACACACTGTAATCCGAGGCTGAGTGTTCTGTTGCCGGGACCGCCACAAGATATCACTTCACTCCCCGTAACACGACAGCTCGTAGCTAACTGGACCAGCAAGACTTCACCGTCTGCTATCCACTGCTGCCAACTGCTACACGTTTAGTTCCCCTAGCGAACCGAGGTCAACTACTCACGGCGTGGGAGAAGAGAAAAGGAAAGGACGGATGGATGAAAAAGAAATATTGACTGGTGTTGTTTTCAATTGTGCGTTCCCTGAGATATATATGGCATATTTACAATATTAATAACGAAATATCTTATCTATATCCCACACCACAAAAACAGATTAAAGAGACAAACTGGAAAAAGTTACTTCTGTCAAGACATCACTCGGCCATTAGATTTCGGTTTAATTTCGAATATGCGGTTCTACAAGCCTGCTGAACAGTAGAGCCAAGTGGGGGGAGAGGGTAAGCAACACGATTCGAGGACCACTAACTTCTGCATACACATAAGAGATGCAACATGAACTAGATCACCTTATGTGCAATGTGTCTAGCCTGGCCAGTTTTGACATGTAATAAAATTCATTACTATTATAAACATTCATGCATGGAATTCTGGAGAATACTGAAGTTTCACACGTGTCCTCAACGTTTACTGAATAAAAAATAAAGACAAATTGTCACCGTGCTTAAATTAAGTACCACGCCATGAAGACGGAACAGTGAAGGTAAGTAAAGCTCTGAGCATTCTAACTGCGGCACTAGGTACAAGTAAAACGATCAGCTTCACGACACGGCTGCTTTACCTCCAGTACCCACATCAAGTGATGAAGTTTTGTAACTGGAACACACAGTCATTTCCTTAAGTACGTTATTTTTATTGCGCTCGAAACATGCGCCTAGCACGCGTCGTCACAGAACAAAGACGTGTGGCCACTGAGCTAGAGAACATTTGCATTTTACAGATGTACGAAACAGTACACTGCACAGGTAAATACGCACACTTATGTGGCATCGGTTGGTTCTAAAGTGGATTAGAACGAATGCCCTACATCACAGAATGGACGGTTCAAACCAATAGATCGATAAGGAATTTGGGGCGATCTTTTAAAATATCGATTCTGACTAAACAAATATAGTTACCGAATTCGATGCGTCTGAATCTTGCGTACTAGTTCATAATGCCTCGCTTATGCAAAAATTATGTTTCGACGTTTTTTACGGCTGCTTTATAGATCAAGACTGGTAGACTTTGCATACCAATTTCTACTTTAAAGCGGTTCACTTATGTAATACATGTAACACATATAAATAATGTTAATACGTTAAATGTAACTTCAAGTACAAACACTAATTTTTATTTCGAAATGTGTCCACATTTAATATAAGAATTTACTAACGTTCAAATTTAACACCACAGACATTTTCAGAACGAGACCCTGTAAAAGTAGAAAAGGTAAAGTTATCCCTGTAACAGGCCGTGGAGACCCATAGGGTTGTGAGACGTCTAGACAATCGGCCCACAGATGGCGGTGAGGTTGTCAGCCTTACACGCCAGCCGCTCTTTAACCCCCAGGAAGATTCCTGGTACTCATTTGTGTTAGGGGCTGGGTCCACCCCAGGGACATAATGCGGCTGGATGGATTAGGTAAAAAAAAATAATATAAAACGACATGAAACATATGGGAACACACTTTTAAATAACGAGACGAAAAAGTCAGCATCGAGCCAACTTCTGTGAATTTCGATATGCAATTTCTAAGTCCCAACCTCAACACCCTTCACATGGTCATCTGAGACAACAGCAATATTCTGACATGATAATATTCCTGAAGAAGGATGTTTTTATTGCTAGTGGGGTGGGACTAAGTCCCTTGTACTGCGGCTACTTCTGGCCTATTGTACCAGCCCCAGATGGTAGGTGAGGGTCATTGTGGCGCAATTGGTGGAATGAAGATTAGCAGGGGAAACCGAAGTACCCGGAGAAAATCTGTCCCAGCGCCACTTTGTCTACCACAAATTCCACTTGACCAGACCCGGGATCGAACCCGGGCCGCTGAGGTGGGAAGCCAGCGACTAACCGCTTGAGCTATGGCGCGGCCAAGAAGGATGTTACGCAGAAGGCCACATTTCTGAGATTCGAATACTTTTTGCTGCTCATCGGGTTCCAGAAACTCATATAAATTACAAAACAAAAAACAAACTCCGTGACGACCGAGCGACCGCCGCTTGTCGGCGAAGTTAGTGACAACTTTTGCGGACAGACGGTGTCACGTGGTCAACGCAACGGACCCCCACGACCGTTAATTTCGGTCTTCTAGACCGGAGCCGCTATTTCCTTGAAACAGCTCCTCAATTATCCTCACGAGGCTGAGTGGAGCCCGTTCCAGACCCAATACTTCTGAAAATCTGGCAGCGCTGGGAATCGAACCCGGATCACTGGATCTGTAGCCAGGAACTCTGACCACTAGACCACAGAGGATAAATTACAAGCAACAAAAATATTAACATTCTCTGCACTGGCGGTCCAGCCAAAATTGGGTAGCAGTTTACCGCAAGGCCGCGATAGACGCCTAGCCCATCCCTGTCCTGCCGAACACATATGGCAACTGTTTTCTTCAGTTATCAATTTCTCTGATCAAACTGATCAAACAATAAGTCTTGTAGCAAACGCATTACCACGGTGCCAACTCATCAGCTCAAGTCATAAAAATAATACTGCTGGGAAACCTTCGCTGCTGTTCTATTTTAATAATTGTAACACCACACTGTTTGTTCCACGTAATTAATCATCAAATGACTGTCACTTCAGTTAACATTTCGGCATGTTTCTACGGACTAGTGACATCCCTTGTCGAGACTTTCTTGGAACTTTCACCACAGTATTCACAGTGAAAGCAATGTGAAGGGTTTCGGGTAAACTTTCTAGTCCATCGTGCAACTGGGTCTAAATATTCGATCCAGTGATCATCAAATTACTTAACAGATTAAACGCCAGTAATTAAATCGAACGAGCGAGTTTACATAGATTTACATTCGGGAGGAGGTCGGTTCGAATCTCAACCAGGGCACTACCTATTATGACAAATGCTTTCCACGCCTTCCCTTACTTCCGCCACACATATACAGGAACACTACCTCGATTAAGCTACCTCCATTTCCTTTCAAATAATTTCTAGCTCATCAATCGTCTATCGCCGATCACAGTGGCCACGCGGTCTAAGGCATGAAATGTGTTCGCCCGCTCGAACGGCGGGATCGTCGGTTCGAAGCCCACTCAAGGCAAGAATGTCTGTCTGCGTTTATTATGTGTTTCTGTTGTCCTATGTAGGTAGCGGCCTTGCGTCGGGCTGATCCCCCGTCCAAGGAGTCCAATCGGCTGCGTATAGATTAAGAAATTGAAGAGGAACGACGCGTTTCACGGGTGCCCTATGCCCCAAGTGGGATCAACAGAAGTAGACCGACAGATAGATTCATCTGTCACCTACAACTCGACGGTATATAGTCGTTCATCCACTGACATGGCCGTAAAAGAACCCATAAAAAGTTGATGTGATTACTGGCAAACAATTAACCCGACATTAACCTGTCCATGAAGGCCTAGGTCCTGACTACAGAACTTTAACGACAGACATATAACTCTTTGCATGTATCTCTTCACTTCGTTACGAGCAAATTAATTCAGTGACAGACAACAACGATCCTTTTGCTTGGCAGTTCAGAGATACATGCAGGGAGCCTCAAGGTCGTCACTATTGCAATGTATTCCGACCTTTATATTTACTGTAGCAATGGTGCGAACATGTGGACCACATTAAGTGGCTAAGCAGACGGCTAGTTGCACAATAATGAACCTTCGGGTTTCATTCTAGGACGACAATTTTTCACCACTATCGGCTTTTGAAAACTAGAATAATATCATTACAGTAAGGTAAACAGGTAAGGCTATCCCTGTAACAGGCCGTGGAGGCCCATAGGATTGTGAGACGACGAGGCTTCTACATTTTCTCTAGACAATCGGCTCACAGATGCCAGTGAGGGTTTCAGATTTACACGCTGGCCGCCCTTTACTCCCAGAATGATTCCTGGTACTCATTTGTGTTAGAGGCTGTGTGGACCCCAGAGTCACAGTGCGGCTGGAAGGATTCGGTAAGCTGAAAAATCCAATGACCTTATCAGGAACCGGACCCACGACCTTCCGGCTTCTAGCATGTTGCCTCAACCAACTACGCTAACGCGTGCCCCCATTTTATTAGAGTATAAAAATAAAAAGTTCAATGCTAGAAACTACGCAGAGCTGTACCAGAAACGAAAGGACAGAGGCCCAGTATCTGTAACCCTGCTCCGGTGTCCTCCCTTTCTGAAATACTTTCAGTGCCTGTCAGTACGGCATAAACTCCAGTCTTCACGTGTAGGCCCTAAAACCGGACATGATGTAGGGATGCGAGCACACCAATATGTAACAGCGTTTCCACTAACCCACCACACCAAAACTGTGACAGCTGGCCTTCCCTAACCTTTTTAGCACAGTGGTTAGTGTACCTCCCGCAAAGCCAAAGTTGTCCCTGTGCTCAATTAATTAAGCACTATACCACAAGGACATACTGGGGATTAAAGGTATAGCTCCAACATTTTTCACCTGGGCACTAGATGGAGGTGGTCAGTTTCACGCTCCGGCTGCTTTACCCCAGGGGAAAGAATCGCCGGTACAAGTTGGAGAGGAGGCTGACTGGGCCCCAGAGGCGGTATGCACGCTGTGGAGAAAAGAAAAATCTCACCCCTGCTCTGAATCGAACCCTGGTCGTCCAGTCCTTAGCCCGTCGCCATAAAACCTGAGATATCCTGACACTCTGTTCCGCCTTTAAAGAAAGATTATTTCTGTACACAGCAATAACCTGTTGGATTTCGTAATGGAGATACAGTGTGTTTCCTTTGAGGTAAGAACTACATTCTTAAATAGTATTTGAATTTAGTACTTAAAAGGGTTAAAATATAGAACACTTGCCCTTTATGGAAGTCTAACTCACAGCAAGGCCGCGCCATAGCTCAAGCGGTTAGTCGCTGGCTTCCCATCGCGGCCTGCACGGGTTCCATCCCGGGTCTGGTCAAGTGGGATTTGTGGTGGACAAAGAGGCGCTG